ACATGCCCATAGGCAAGCTTGATTTGCATAACTGTGCATTAAGCCTCTCTCTGGCTGGAGAGATGGCTCAGTAGTGAGAACCATGTACAGCTTTTGTAGAGGATCCAAGTTGGGCTCCCAGCACCCACGTCAGCTTGTGCATAACCATCTGTTACTCTAGCCCGGGGGATCCGACGCCTCCCTCTGGCTGGCCAAGACAAACAAAACTGAAGTTAGAACTAAGCAGCACGTCTACGGCCATACCACCCTGAACGCGCCCGATCTCGTCTGATCTCGGAAGCTAAGCAGGGTCGGGCCTGGTTAGTACTTGGATGGGAGACCGCCTGGGAATACCGGGTGCTGTAGGCTGGAGAGGGACCTGGAACTGACTTGTGAAGCAACCTTGTTTCTTATCTAAATTTAAACTGGAAAATAAAATTTAAAAAATCAAAAAAAAACCAAAAAAACAAACAAAAAAAACTAAGCAGCACACTTTCTCCTCCACTCACCCTAGCACCCAGGCATCACTGTTGGTTGTGTTGGTCCTAGAACCACATGTAAATGAGTTCATACAGGATATAACAGTCTGCGCATGACCTGGTGCACAAGGGTTTCCAGACATAGCCATATCATCGCTTACATCAGAAGTTCTGCTTCCTTTAATCTCTGAGTGCCATCTGTTTCACCTCCCGGTCACCATGTCATTCGCTAACTGGTAGACACTTGCTTTATTTCCAACCTGATTCCTAAGCAAGACATTTATTTGTGTGGAAGGGGCAGGGGATCTCATGCATCCCAGACAGGCCTTAGCTAGGTAAGTAACTGAGGATTGCCTTGAACGTCTGAGTCTCCTACCCTCATCTCCAGAGTGCTGGAATTGCAGGCATCACCGCCACACCCAGTCTGTGTAGTCCTGTGGATGGAACCCAGGGCTCCATGTGTGCTAGGTAAGTACTCTACTGAGTCGTTGCCTTGCTCATCCCTAAGCAAGGCTTCTGTTCTTATTTTTTCCATGGATCTTGGATAAGCAGTTAAGGTTGGGACTGCTGACCATCAAAGCAGATGCGTGTGTAAGACCCTGCTAGAGGGCTGGGGAGATGACTTGGTGGATAAATCACTTGATTGAGGGTCTGAGTTTGGATCCCCAGCATCCACAGGAAAGTCAGACAAAACAGTGCCTGAATCTGTAATTCCAACACTGCCATGGTGAGATAGGAGAATCCCCAGAAGCTGGCTTGCTGAATTTGGCAGAAAACAAGAGACTGTCTCAAGGTAGAAGGCAAGGACCGACACTCAAGGGTGTCCTCTGACCTCCGCATATGTGCTGTGGTACTCATGTACCCACAATGTCACACACACACACACACACACACACACACACACACACACACAAAGAATCTGCTAGATTGCTTTCTAAATTGGCATACTTTATAAGCCCTCTCTTAAATTCCTGCTCTTTGTATCATTGACGCTTGAGCTGGTCACATTCCTCAGTGTCAGTCATCTTGGTAGGCATGTGTGAGAGAGATTATGTGCTCTGTAGACAGAGGATGCACTGTTTTACAGGTGCTAAGGAAGCAAAGTGTGCTGATTACACCGTTTGAATCATTTGTATACCTACTGATTTCTATCTTGGCTGTCCTATCATTTACTCTGAGTCACTGTAAAAATAGTCTGTGACGAGGAACTTGGTGATACTACCTTTAGTAACTTACTCCATATTTTATGTGTCTGAGAATCTGTTAAACGATACATAAAAATTTCTGATAGTTGGTGTGGTGGTGAACACTTGTCATCCCAGCACTTGGGAGGTGCAGGCATGAGGATCAGTATTTAAGATCACCCTTGGCTGCATAATGAATTCCAGGCCATCCTGGGTTACATAAGATCCTGTTTCAAAGCAAAACAAAATAAAGAACAGCAAGATTAAATAAAATAAAAGAGGGTAGTGATTTCCATACTTCCTTTATAGTACATCCACAAATCCAGCTTGTTTGTTTGTTTGTTTTGAGACTGGGTCTCTCTATGAAACCTGGGCTGATCTTGAACTCTTGATCTTCCTACCTCAGCCTCCTGTATGCTTGTATTACAGATATGCACCTCCTTGCTAGTATCATTTATCAGTGGAGAGTTCAATAGCAATTCCTCCTATTACACATGCTGAGTGTGCCCCTTTCTCTGCCTCTGGGTCTACAGCAGGCCTCTCAGATTTTTCCCATCAGCTTCCAGCTACAGCAGCTGGGTCCTGAGACAGGTACAGTGAAACAGTCTTTTTTTTTCTTTTCAAGACAGGGTTTCTCTCTGGCTTTGGAGGCTGTCCTGGAACTAGCTATTGTAGATCAGGCTGATCTTGAACTCACAGAGATCTGCCTGCCTCTGTCTCCTGTTTACTGGGATTAAAGCCATGAGCCACCACTGCCCGGTTACAGTGAAAAATTCTTAAAGTGTGGGAAAGAAGGCAAAAACAGGCTGGAGAGATGGCTAGTGGTTGAGAGCACTGGCTATTCTTGCAGAAAATAGGGTGTGGTGGTTTGAATAAGTATGCCCCCCAATAGACTCATGTGTTTGCAGTTTTGGCCAGAGGGAATGGAACTATTAGGAGATGTGGCCTTGTTAGAGGAAGTGTGTCATTGTGGGAGTGGGCTTTGAGGTTTCATATGCTCAAGCTATGCCCAGCTCACTTCCTGTTGTCTGTGGATCAAGATGTAGAACTCTCAGCTCCTTCTCTAGCACCATGTCTGCCTGTATGCATGGCAATAATGGACTAAACCTCTGAAACTGTAAGCCAGCCCCAATTAAATGTTTTCCTTTGTAAAAGCTGGCATGCCCTTGGTGTCTCTTCACAGCAACAGAAACCCTAACTAAGACAGAAGTTGGTATTGCTGCGATGGGCCTGTCCATGCTTTGTTTGGAGGGATGTGGACTTTGGATTAATAAAGCAGTTGAATGCTTTAAAGGCTTAATGGGTCATCCTAGTGGGAGCATGGAAGACAGTGGTGCTGTGGTGATTTGAACTGTGGGAACCTGGCTCAAAGAGTTTCAGAGGAGAAGAATATTGGTATCTGGCCTAGAGACTAGTCCACATCCCTTGTCTGAAAAGTTTACTTGAGACTAAAGTGAAGGTTTTGGATTATTTCCAATGGCAGAGGAGATCTCAAAACAGTGTAGGATAGACTCTGTTGTGTGGTTATTAGTGTTCACTCTTATGAAGGTCTATAATGAAAAGGAGCAAGCTGAGCAAGGAAAGGTACAAAATGTACAATTTGAGGAGAAAAGTGGCACCAAGAAGTGGAATAGAGTCAAATCCTGTGTTCAAAGAAATAGACAGACTAAGAAATGGAATAAAGGGAGTGGGGCCCTCAGGGAAAGATCCCACCCAGCTAAGTTTCCAACTTGTGAAAAGGGTCTGGGCATGGTGGTGCAAGCTTTTAATTCCAACATTCCAAAGGCAGAGCAGGTAGATCTCTGAGTTCAAAGCCAGCCTGGTCTACAGAGCAAGTTTAGGACAGCCAAGTTTAGACCATGAAGGAAACCATGGAAACCAGAAAGCTGGTGAAGATGTAGTTGAACAAGGGGACTGTGTTCCAGCCCCAGCAAGCAGCAGGATTTTGGTAGCCACATGGTTCTGACTTTAGAGTCAAGGATATAAGAAAGGGTCACGGAATCTCCCTCTGTGACTAACGAAAGCCACCGAGGCCAGGCATGTGTCAGGGGTGAACTTATATGGAGGCCCAGAGAGGCCATTGCATGAAGCTGTGAATTTGAAGCTTGGATTGCCTTGAAGACCCGTAGATGTTGAGATGCCAGAGTCGTGGGATACCTGCAGAGGAGAGCTGCTAACAGGGAGTGGAACCAGCTCAAGAGAAGGAAGTGTGTTGCAGTCAACAAAATTGGAAGGAGTCAGAGATCTGAAGAGAGTTTTGACATCAGACATGAAGATGCAGAGTTTGGAGTCTACCCAGATGGTTTTTTTTTATGAGACATGGTTTCTCTGTATTGTTTTGGAGGCTATCGGTCCAGCCCGGCTTCGAACTCACAGAGATCCGCCTGCCTCTGCCTCCCGAGTGCTGGGATTAAAGGCGTGCGCCACCAACACCTGGCCACCCAGATGGTTTTTGGTCTTGCTTTGGTCCAGTATTTCCTCATTATGCTCTCTTCCCTACATTTTGGAATAGAAATGCATATCCTGTGCCATTATATGTTGGAAATATATGGATTACAGTTAAGAGATTGTATGAATCTCAGAAGAGACTTTGAACTTTGGACTGTTAAACATTGTTGAGACTGTGAGAGACAATGGGGACTTTTGAAGTTGGACTAAATTCATTTTGCATTATGTGATGACTACAAGCCTATGGGAACCAGGGAGTGGAATGTGGTGGTTTGAGTAGGTATGGTTCCCATAGACTCATGTATTTAAATGCTTTGACCATAGGGAGCTGCATGATTAGGGTGTGTGGCCTTGTTGGAGTAGGCGTGGCCTTGTCAGAGGAAGTGTGTCACTGTAGGAGTGTGCTTTGAGGTGTCATATGCTCAGGCTACACCCAGTGTGGGGGACTTAGTTCACTTCCTGTTGCCTGTGGACCAACTCCTAACTAAGACAGAGGGTTGGATTCCCAGAAACCATGTTCAGTGGCTTATAACCTCCTGTAACTCCAACTCCAGGTGATCTACTGCTCTCTTCTGGTCTCCATGGGCATTGTACTCTCTCTCTCTCTCTCTCTCTCTCTCTCTCTCTGTGACACACACACACACATACACATAAAAATAAATCTTAAAATCAAAGACAAAAAGCAAAATCAGACCATTCACAACAAAGGTTGTAAACTGCAAACCTCGTTTTTGGAAATGAGAGGACACCCACAGAACTGGTGTCTGTTAACATCATTGACAGGCTACTATACAAGAGCCCAGCGGCTTCCGGTCTCTGCTCCCGTCGCATGGATAGGAAACCAAGACACAAAGAGGAAAAACCATGTGCTGGATTTTCCCCTGAGCGGAGAGGGCAACGAGGAGAATACTTCAAACAGAGCCAAGAGGTCTTTTATTTGTGGGTCCCTGAGGAGACAGAAGGTGCTTGGGGAGGGGCAACACTAACAGTGGCTGGGTCAGCACTGGGCTACTAGAGGCACGGAACACCAAGAACAGTGCAGGCGGGTTCCACTCCTGAGTCTGAGGGAGGAGGCTGGGCCTGGACTCCTGAGTCTGAGGAAGGAGGTTGTGACCTGGATCCTTGAGTCTGAGGGAGGAGGTTGTGGCCTGGATCCTTGAGTCTGAGGGAGGAGGCTGGGCCTGGACTCCTGAGTCTGAGGGAGGAGGCTGGGGCCTGGACTCCTGAGTCTGAGGGAGGAGGCTGGGGCCTGGACTCCTGAGTCTGAGGGAGGAGGCTGGGCCTGGACTCCTGAGTCTGAGGAAGGAGGTTGTGATCTGGATCCTTGAGTCTGAGGGAGGAGGCTGGGCCTGAACTCCTGAGTCTGAGGGAGGAGGCTGGGCCTGGACTTCTGAGTCTGAGGGAGGAGGCTGGGGCCTGAACTTGTGGGTGGGTCTGAGGGAAGAGGGCTGGGAACAATCCCAAGTCTCTGGCTCCCTCAGCAGGCTTCAAGTGTGCCGTGTGCTCCGTCCATAGCTGGTCTGAATGGTGGTCTGGATCCAGTGCGTGAACTTGCAGAGATTGGTGTAAACACTTGGCATGCCAGGCTGTCCACACTGTCCTTGTCCCATAGACACGAGGCCTTGCAGGGATCTGTTGCACACTATGGGACCCCCAGAGTCTCCCTGAGAGAGAGAGAGAGAGAGAGAGAGAGAGAGAGAGAGAGAGAGAGAGAGAGAGAGAGAGAGAGAGAGAGAGAGAGAGAGCACCCAGAAGAGAGTGAGCTGAATCTAAAGTCCCAGAGCATCCCCATAAGGCAGTTCACACAACTGCCTGCTTCCCTGGGGCTTGCTGCGGTCCAGTCTGTCTGTCTGTCTGTCTCTTTCAGGGCTTGCTTATCTGCCTCTATGTCTCCGTGTTCTGTGTATGCCTATGTCCTCTTCATTTCACTCTTTCTGTTGTAGTACTGGAAACAGAATCCAGTATCTTTGCCAAGGTGCTCCACCACTGAGCCACACCCCCAGCCCCTCACTGGGGAATTTAGGCAGTGATTTGCACTGGTCTATATTCCTAGTCTTCTTTTCACATTTTACTTTGAGATGCATCTCACAATTAAGTCCAGGCTGGACCTTCCTCCGCTTCCTGGGTGCTTAGCCACCATGCAGGCTTCTGGGTCTCTGTGTTTCTGCCTCCCCGATCCTCTCCACCCCCCTGCCCCCCACCTTTTGAGACAGGGACTCACTGTGACTATCTGGCTGGCCTTGAACTCAGAGATCACCCGCGTCTCCTCCCCTGCTGGGATTAAAGGAGTGGCTCCCCCACTTACAGCCATTTCAGGGTACCTCAGCTGCACCTTCTGCCCCGCCCCACGTCCGTTCCACCCGCCCCGTGTCTCACATTGCATGTGTCCTTTTGGTCCAGCCCTCCTCCAGCGCAGAACATGCTGAGGTGATACACAGGGTCATACAGCAGCCGGCAAGTCTCCTCCGACACCACCGAGAGGTTCACACACTGCAGCAGGCTGGGCAGTCTCCCTGAGACACAGAAAGGAGGGTCAGCCGCTTCTGGCTGGGGGGGGGAACTTCTGGGAGAGGGCAGTCATGCTCGGGGCAGCTCACCGTTCTTTAGTCGACCCCAGCCAGAGACGAGGCAGGTGTCCCCAGGGGTGGGGCATTGGGAAGCCACAGGGATGCGCCTGATGGTGTTAGACTCCATCACTGATTCGTTCAGCTTGATGAGCATGAGGTCGTTGGCATAAGGAGGGTCGTTGTAGTTCGGGTGCTGGATGGAGAGGTGGGCCTCTAACATCCGGCTGCCAGGCTCTTGGGAGCCTTCCAGGCTGTGCAGGCCCAGTCCCACGGTGTAGGAACTGAGGATCACCCGGCAGGTGAGCTATACAGTGACGCCTCGTCTCCCCTCTCATCCTCTACCCGGAAACTACAGTGTCCCCCCCCGCTTTGCCTTTCCCTTCCCACCAGACCGTCCCGGTCCTGCCAGGTAGGGCTCCCCTCACGGTTGTCAACGCTGCGGTCCCTTGAGCGCCCTCTGCAGGCCGAGTCTGATATTGGGCCCCCCTCCCCTGAGCACCCTACCACCCCCACTCACTCCTGTATGCAGTGTGCTGCTGACAGCACCCACTGCGGATGCACCAGGACGCCAGAGCAGAAAAAAATATTGTCTTCCGAGAACAGTGCCGCCTGCCAGGGTTGAGAGTGTGGACGGCAGTCTTGGCCTTGAATGATCCGGCCGCTGGCGCTTGAGGCTAAGGATCCTGGGGATGGAGTCAGAATTGGGTTTGCGGTGTGGAGTAGGGGCGTTTCCTGGCTTTCGGGATGGGACAGGGATTAGGGCAGAGTTTGTGAGCACGGTCGGGATGAGAGCTCAGAGTTACGGGGGCGATGTTAGGGTGAAGGGACGTTATCAGAGGTGGCAGAGGGGGCAGGGAGGGGCGGCTTTTGGGTCTTGATAGGAACGAGCTGTGCGAATCCTGGGTTAGAGTTCCTCCCAGCAGGGTCTGAGCGAAGGGGAGGCCATGGCAGGGGACCGTTCAAGAGGCAGGATTAGGGCTCACAAAGGTAGGATATCAGAGTAAGGACTTGGTTAGAAGTTTGGTGTTGGAATCAGGGTTTTAAGGTCTGGCCATTGCTGGGCACAGGTTCAGGACACAGTCTCAGGGTTCCTGGGGGTAAGATTTAGTACAGGGGCTTGGTCAGGTCTTCAGGGGTGGGGCCAGGGTTGGGGTGCGAATGAGGAAGCAGGACCAGGTGGGATCTGAGTGCAGACATGTGGGTGGGGCTTAACAGGGAGGAGTCATGGAAACTGGAAGGAAAGCTCTTGAAGGTGGGTGGTCAGGCCAGAGTCGGACTGGGTGCAGGCAGAGCTCACTGGGACAGGGTGTCAATTAGGGATCAAGGTCTTCACCTCCTGAGAGGGGTTAGGGTTCACCATGTAAACTAGGCAGTTCTAGGGACGGAGTCGGGAGGATAATACAGGTTCTTACTTCAGGGATGTGCATGGCTGGAGACAGGCTGGAGTTTCAGGGTCAGAGAATTACCACCAAGCAGCTAGCAGAGTCAGGGTTGGATGGCGATTGGGAGATAGGAGACGGGGCTAGTTCCCAGTCACCAAGAAAGCGTGCCTGGAGTGAGTCAGGGCTCAGAGGGGTGGGGTCAGGGCTCAAAGGGGTGGGGTCAGGGCTCAGGTGTGGTGCAGATTCCTTGAGGAGAGTTAAGGCCTAGGGGTCTCCCTCCTTGGGACTGGGTCTGAGAGCCAGGATCAGCACACTAGATGCAGGGTTATTTGTCAGGAGGGTGGGTCAGCTTGAAGTCTCAGTCTAGTCTTCGGGACCAGGAACCACTTCTCTCTCATGCACAGAGCCATGCCAGGAGTCTTTCAGAACACACAGTCCCTTCACCCACCTGGCCCAGATGAGACAGATGAGACGACACTCCAGAGTTGCTCAGCTTTGTGGCACAGATGAGCCTCCACCCAGGCTCGCCACAGCCCAGACACCATTATTCCAGGGGCTGGGGCCTCAGCTGGTAGAGTGCTCACTTAGCACACACAGTCTTGGGTTTGAGGCCAGCACCATGTAAACTGGGCATGGTGGTGCACACCCGCAAGCCCAGCACTAGGGAGGTAGAGGCGGAGGATCAGAAGCTCAAGGTTGTTCTTAGCTTTAGTGAACTGGACTATGTAAGACTCTAAAAATAAAGCAATGGGCCAGGTCAACCTCAGAACACAGGAGCCAGAGATAGGCTCACTTCTGTGAGTTTGGAAGGAAGGAAGGAAGGAAGGAAATCGTCTAGTCACTCGGGAACTAGGCACAGATCCCGTTTTTCCCTTAGTGGCACAAAGTGTCCCTCGTTCTCATGACCCACCACCTTTACAGGCATGACTTCACACCCACTGTCACCAGTCACATCACACTGTCCCAGGAGAGTCAGAAGCAGAAAGACACCGAGTCATGCCTGAATGCTGGCTGACAGTGTTCCCTCAGGCACACACTCAGATACCTGTGACCCCAAGGATGAGATGCCCAAGGAACCAGCCCCAGGGGGTTCTTGCAGTGACCATCATGTTGGCTCCTGGAAATGAAGACAAGTGACTGGGGGATGCAGTCCTGGTCTCTCCATCTCCCCCAACGCCCCCTTATTCTTGTGATTGTGGGATATAACTGGGCAGAGAGAGAGATGCTGGTGGGAGGAGAAAGGGGGGAGAGGAGGAAGCATCTAACTATCTTAGAACAGGGTGGGGGTGGAGAGAGGGAGGCACAGATCTTCACTTAGGACACACGAAAGACCCAGTTAGTGCATTCAAGAGATTTGGCCACAGGCAGCCTGAGAACCAGAGATTTGGAGTAGAACATAGATGTTTCTAAGGAGAGAGAGAGGTGGGGAGGGGGGCACTCCTTACCGGCTGCCTCTCGGCTGGGCTCGGGATTCTGTGATCCTGCTGGCTGGACTGAGTTGAGCTGCCACCCACAGGGGCCCCCACAGGGCTTATAAGCCTACTCAGCAGGGGCTGGCCCTGCCTCCCAGGGAATACACTGCACATGTCAGGTGCTGCAGACTCCAGCTCAAAGCCCTCAGGCTGCCTGATGGAGTCTGAGGCACAGGAAGGGAACAGTGCCCAGATCCCAGTCTCTCTTGCTCCCCCAACTTCCCTCATGTTTTCTTACTCATTCCTTCCATCTCTCATACTCCTTCCCTTATTCACTAAATAAAATTTCCCTATATCACTCCCATATTCCACCTCTTTATGAGTTCCTTCTTGTGTAGCCACTGGAAACTGCCCCGGCATCAAATCCAGCCTGTGTCTTGTACTTCCTTGGGAACCTTATTCGTGATGGGCTTCTAGAGCCCTTATTTTCCCATGCATAGAATCAGGGTAACCATCGCTCCATGCCTAGCCTGAATTCAGATAACCCTGCAAGCAGACCCTCCCTCTACTGGTGCCCTAGCTCAGAGGCTCCTGGGAAGCAGAGTAAGATAGATAAAGGCTTCCATCCCTTAGTCAGGAGCAATCAAGTAGCTGCCGCACTTGGACCTCTACATCAGGCCAGGACCAGGGAGAATAAAGATGTCTCCTGGGACCCATGTCCCAGTGAGGGTGTGAAGATACACAATAAAGAAAACCCAGAGGGATTGGGAAATAAGTGGTGGTTGGTAGTGGTTGGAGGGGGCATTTAAGCTGGGGACCAGGCGACTATGAGGAAGAGTGGGGACCAGGCAGGGGAGGGCTGCAGCAGAAGACATGTTGGTAGGTGTCAGCGGACATTTCCATGGGAAACAAGGCAGACAAGGAAGCCTGCAGAAATGCTTTATACGTCGGGGTTAGGGGCTTAGGCTGTGTGTTAAGCACAGTGGTAGAGGAAGTGACATGAGTTTGTCTACTATGTACAGTCACTCTTGGTGAGGAGTGACAGAGGTAGGAAGTGGAAAGGAGGGTCATGCTGAGAGGAAAGATGCTGAGATTCATGTGTGAAAAGCTCTAGCCTAGACGGGAGCTGCTGTGGTCCAGATTACAGATGCTGTGGTCCAGATTACAGATGCTGTGGTCCAGATCAGGGATGCTGTGGTCCAGGTTAGGGATGCTGTGGTCCAGGTTAGAGAGCTGTGGTCCAGATTAGAGATGCTGTGGTCCAGATTACAGATGCTGTGGTCCAGGTTAGGGATGCTGTGGTCCAGGTTAGAGATGCTGTGGTCCAGATCAGAGATGCTGTAGTCCAGATCAGGGATGCTGTGGTCCAGGTTAGGGATGCTGTGGTCCAGATTACAGATGCTGTGGTCCAGATTAGAGATGCTGTGGTCCAGATTAGAGATGCTGTGGTCCAGATTAGAGATGCTGTGGTCCAGATTAGAGATGCTGTGGTCCAGATTAGAGATGCTGTGGTCCAGATCAGGGATGCTGTGGTCCAGATTAGAGATGCTGTGGTCCAGATTAGAGATGCTGTGGTCCAGATTAGAGATGCTGTGGTCCAGATTAGAGATGCTGTGGTCCAGATTACAGATGCTGTGGTCCAGATTACAGATGCTGTGGTCCAGGTTAGGGATGCTCTGGTCCAGGTTAGGGATGCTCTGGTCCAGGTTAGGGATGCCACAGGGAGATTAGATTCAGGAGGAAGATTCTGAGATTCGGTGTGAGATGCTGGGATTCAGGTGGTCGTGCTCCTGTGCGTCAGGTCTCATAGGTACATACTGTGAAGGATGGGGCCAGCACTGAGGCCAGGGAGACCAGCTAAAAGAGGGAAGAAAGAGGTGGGTGGTGTTATTTCTGTCTCTTTTCTCACTGGGTCAGGTGGAAGTGGCCTGGAATTGTTTGGGAACAGGCTCAGACAGTGGGGGCATTTCTGGTCTCATGTGCTGGATTCATTTGCACTAAGATGGAAAGACTTTCCGATGGGCAGAATCCAGCCTGAGGTGTGGGGTGTGGAGGAGCAGAGGCAAGTAGGGATGTGAGCCAAGAGGACTGGGAGATACCAAACCACAGAGGGATGGAAAGGGCCCAGAGAGATGGAAACTTGGAGATCTGAATATGGGAAGAGCAGAAACACATACCCAGAGGGATGAACAACTGAGCCTCACGCTCGCCCCTCACTGGGGAATTCTAGACAGGCGCTCCACTTTTGAGTCATGCATAGCTCAACCTTTGTTGTCTTTCTGTAGCATCCTATACATCCCTCAGAGCTCAGCGGAACGACTCAGGCACACTTTTGTTTGTGTGTTAATTCTCCTAACATGTTTTCCTTTAATTTGGCAGTCTTCTGAGAGCAGTCTTGTGTCTTGGCTTTCCTGATGATGTCACTATGGAGGGGCTAAACGGATGGGTACGGACACACAGATACGGACGCACAGAGAGCACAGAGGCAGACGGGAGAGGGGGACAGACAGGCAGGGAAACCAGTAACAAACAGTAGTAACAGGTTATGGTATTTAGTTAACTTCTGGGGGCACTGCCTCTGTCTCTACCTTTAGGGTTTGCACAGTAGGACTGGATGATTCCTTAGCCATGTCAGAAGAAATTGGGATTACAGAATATTCTCTGTGTGCGTGTGCATATGTGTGCGTGCATGTGTGTGCATGTGTGTGTGCGCGTGCGTGTGTGTGTTCATGTGTGTGCAGTGTACATGTGTGTAGGGAAGCGTGTGAATCCAGAGGTCAGCCTTAGCCATCAATCCTCAGGTGTTACCTACTTTGTTTTTTGAGACAGGGTCTCTCTGTGGTCTGTAACTCACTGGCTCAGTGAGGCTGAGTCCCCAGGATGCTCCTGTTTCCATCTCCCCAGTGCTGAGATTTTAAGTGTCACCGTACCTGGCTTTTCTTTTTTTGTTTTTAACTTTTTCATCTGTTTTCTGGGGCTGGAACTCAGGTCCTCATGCCGGCAAGGCAAGCATTTTACCCACTGAGCCATCTTCTCGCCCCGATTCTCAAGGGTCTTCAGATACATGAGATGCCAGTGAGACCAGAGCTCAGCGATTTCAATCACACAGTTTGGTTTCCAGTTCTCACATTAGATGGCTCACAAATGCCTGTGACTCCAGGGGGCCTGCTGCCCTCTTCTGACTTTCTTGGGCATTACACTCACGTGCACATCCCCCCACACAGACACTCTTAACTAAAACTAAAACATTTTAAACATTATCACATTTATGTATTTATTTATGCATCTGTGTATTTATTTGTTATTTATTATTTATGTTATTTACATTATGCATGCCAGTGCACACTTATCAAAGTCAGGGAACAACTTGCAGAATTGGTTCTTTTCTTCTACCACATAGGTCAAGGGGATGGAATTCAGGTTTGGGGCAGCACCTTGACCCACTGAGTCATCTCGGGCCCCCTCTTCGACATCCTTTGAGACAGTCACGCTGTGGCTCAGGCTAGCCCTGGCTTCCTAAGTGCTGAGATGACAGGTACGATGCCTGCAAACAGTGGTTTTGCACGCTCTTCAAGTGACACGCCTTGTGGCACGGAATTTACCAACTAAAGGTGTTTTTGCGTTCTAAAACTTTAGATTTTGAAGTGTTTTAGATTTCCTAACTTAGAGACACTGGCCTCTGACTAATTTCTTTTTTGACGACTTTGTGGAGTGAGAGGCCTGTGCACCTCTTTTTTTTTTTTTTTTTTTTTTTTTGGTTTTTATGAGACAGGGTTTCTCTGTATTGTTTTGGAGGCTGTCGGTCCAGCCTGGCCTCGAACTCACAGAGATCCGCCTGCCTCTGCCTCCTGAGTGCTGGGATTAAAGGCGTGCGCCACCACCGCCCGGCCTGTGCACCTCTTTTACAGATAAAGAAACTGAGGCACAGAGAGGCAAGTAAACCCTGAAAATCAGAGCAAGGCCAAGGCTGGAGAGATTTAGATGGCTGAACAGAGCAGTGCAATGATCTAGACATTGCCTGCACGGTGAGAAGGTAGCTAAAACGTCAGACGCTGAGAAACTTGGGGTTAGGGGTAGCGTAACAGTAATAACTCAAAAAGAGATGGAAGACTAGTGCTTCTATATCACCTATGCATGTGTTGTTGGAATTGCTTTGTAAACACAGCCTCTTGAGGCCCAGTATTATGCCCCACTAGGTAAAAGAGGAGACAGTCAGAGAGGTCAAACAACCTTTCCGAGGCCACACAGCAAAGTGGCAATGAACTTGAGGCTTCTAGCTTGAGAGCAAAGGTGTGTTGACCACACTGTTGTGTGTCTCTCAGAAGACTGCAGAGTTGGGTGGGTGTGGCGCTCCTGCAGGGACACAGGATATGGGGAGTCTGGGAGACCCAGGCTGGACGTCCCTCGCCTGAGCCATCTTCCCTTCCCTCCACGCCCAGCGCAGCCCGGGCAGGGGACTCGGGAGGCACCCGGTCTGTGACAGGATGCGGGCAGAGCCCACTCCTAGCAGAACTGGAAAACTAGGTCCTGCTGCTGCAGGCAGGTGAGCCAGGCTCCTAGTGAGGAGACTCCTCCATTTTAGAACCCCAGAATTTCCTGGCTGGGGTCCTGATGGGGGCCCAGGAAACTTCAGTGACCTCTTAAGTCTGCATAAACAGCTGTGGATTGAACTTGAACTTACTTCAAGGGCAATGACAGGTGTCTGTCCCTGCTTCACTCAGTGACACAAAGCTATCTTGGGACCTGCCCTGTCACCTTCCAACAAGAGCAGTGTTTTCTGCCCTAAGTATGGGCAAAGACTGCGGGAGCCAGCGGGAAAATCTAGCCTCCCAGGGGGAGCCAGGGCCAAGTTGGGGCAATCTTCAGGGTCCACTCCAGAGGTGAACATGGGGATACTTTGGAAGAGAGAGTCGGAGCTCTCAACAGCCTGGGGGAGGTTCTGGCCTGGAGCTGGCACAGAGAAAACAGCTGGACCCCAGCAGTGGGAAGGACCCTGGGGGCGAGTGAATGGGGCGAGCTAAGAGCTCACCAGCAAACACCCCAGTCAGCTCGGAGGTGCAACTCAATGATGAGGCACACACATCATGCGAGGGGACCTGGGTTCTGTCCCTAGCTGCTCCCCAGCTAGGGAAGATGTCCCAGTTTAGTCACAGTGAGAGCACGGTTTGTCACAATACAAAGGAAAGAGAGCTGGCTCAGCGGTGAAGCCTAGGACCCCCAGTGAGGGCTGGGGACATGTCACAAGGCCAGAGAACCTTCCTAGTATGCACTGGGCCCTGGGTTGCATCCTGAGCATCATAGGGGAAAAATAAAACTTTTTTGAAAACAAAGTCTCAGCCACCATTGGAGGAGTCACAGGGTCTTCATCCTGATTTCTTCCCGAATCAAGAACTAGAGTTCTCAGTTCTGTTTCTATCACTGAGTCTGGATTCCATCACCCTGGGTAACACAGCCACCTGCTAGCATTCAAAGGTGGTTTTCTTCTTAAGGCGAAGCCTTGGCTTCTATGTTCTCCCCGAAAGGGAGAGGGACTCCTGCAAGCCCTTCCATGTTGCTTGTGGTCTCTGACTTTGGGTAAAACACGTCTGACTCTCTGGGGTCTCACACTCCCTGAAATTTTGGCCGGCCTTTTACAATTGGTGGCACTTTCTGCTGTTGTTTTAATCAAACACCAGCATATAAAGGTCAGGAGGGTTTGAGTTGCTCTTGTAAAGACCACACATCAGTCAACAATGTGGCCACACACTCCCATTCATGGCCTTATTCATCTTCAGAGTGCTGAGCCCTGGGGCATCTGACAGTTTTACCATATTTTCATTTCCTGTCTGGCCCTTTTGACCCTAGCAGACTGGAGACAGAGGGTGGAGACAGTAGAGAGAGACATGGAGGTAAAGAAGATCACAGACAAGAAAGTCACAAAAAACTCAATAAAAGCAGGCAAAATCATCCTCTTGCTAGGGTTTCTATTGACCATGACCAAGAAACTTGAGGAGAAAAGCTTTTATTTCATGTTACAGGTCACACTTCATCCTTGAGGCGAGTTAGGGCAGGAACCCGGCGTCAGGAGATGGAGCCGAGGCCAGAAGAAGCAGGTAAGCATCGTTCCTCGGTGGCTCATGCTGTATGTGCTGTGCAAGCCCAATGGAGCCTAGACGATCATGAGTACAGATGTCTGACACTGGACTTTGGTTTTGCTTTGATCTGATGCCGACCTGCCCTGGCTCTTCCCTTTTGGAGTAAGAGAGCATGTAACTTACTTTGATTTGACAGGAACCCCCAGTGTGACACGATTTCCCTTGTGGCAGATGGATTACATTGGACCACTTACATAGTGGAGGAGACAGCCCTTTGTCCCTACTGGAATAGATAGTATTTCTGGCTATGGGTTTGTCTTTCCTGGATGGAAATGCTTCTGCCAAAAATGACCATCCAGGGACTTACTTACAAACGCCTTACCAACACCATGATACTCTACACAGCATGGCTTCTGTGGATCCCACGTCACAGCTAAGGGAATATGCAGTGGGATTATGCTCATGGAATCCACTGTTCTTACCATGTCCCCCACCATACTGAAACAGCTGGATTGACAGAACAATGGAATGGCCTTTTAAAGATCCAGCTGAAGCACCAGTCGGGTGGCAATAGCCTGGAAGTCTGGGACAAGGTTCTCCAGAAGGCTGTGCACGCCTCCAGTATGCGGCACTGTTCCTGCCATGGCCAGGATGCCCAGCTCCAGGAGTCAAGGCATGGACATGGAAATGGCTCCCCTCACTATGACCCACTAGGAAACTGTTTGCTTCCTGTTCTCACAAGTTTATGTTCTGCATGCTTAGAATTCAGAAGGATGCTTCTGCCTGAACAATTAGAAGTTAAGAGTTTCCTCTTGGCTATTTTGAGGTTCTGATGTCCTTGAGTCAGCTGGCTAACAAAGGTGTAACAGTTTTAAAAGGAGTGATATCCAGACCACCAGGGGGAAATTGGGTTGCTTCTCCATCATGGAAATAAGAAAGAGCATGTCTGGAGGGCAGGGAACCCTTTAGGTCAACATTTGGTGTTACCATGTCCTGTGATTAAGGACACAATCCAGGCAGGGTGATAAATGACCCAGACCCTTCAGGAATGAAGATATGGGTCACCCCTCTGGGAAGGGACCAGGACCTGCTGAGGGGTTTGTTGAGGGTGGTGGAAATACAGAATGGGTAAGTACAGGAAGGTAGTCATACCAGGTAAGGCTACGCGGCCAGTTACAGAAATGAGGACTGTGGCCAACAGGCTTGTCTCTTATTTGGAAGGCATATGCTTATATATACAGTGAGCAGATATTGGGTTTCATTTAATGTAGCATTAACTGAGATAATATTAAAGGTTAAATGCTATAAACCTCTGTTGTCATATTTAAATTATGAGACAGTAGACATTCCTCAAAGAACTTTGCTATCCAGGCTCTTGTATCTGTCAAGTTTCTAACCTGGGACAAATGGCTGAGGTGCCTATTTAACATATCACAGAGGGCCTGGCCCCCAGGCTCTCCCGGCATCTCTCAGTCCCTCCCTGTTAAGGGTATGGCTTGTACACCCTGTGCTGAACCCTGAACTCTCCAGCCCAGGGGCCAGGTGACCTACATGGCCACCTGTTCCTTTTGTCCCTTTCCTCCTGGCTGCTGCACCGCGTTTCCCGCCCCACACATGGCCCAGCTCACCTGCTCGTGTCCGCTCTGGACTCTCCCAGATGTCCCTGTCTCCACCTATGCCCGCCCTTTTATCCATAATAAACCTTCTCTCCACCATATCTAGGAGCAGTCACGTCCTTTCCTCTCTCTCTCTCTCTCTCTCTCTCTCTCTCTCTCTCTCTCTCTCTCTCTCTCTCTCTCTCTCTCTCTCTCTCTCTCTCTCTCTCTCTCTCTCTCTCTCTCTCTCTCTCTCTCTCTCTCTCTCTCTCTCTCTCTCGTCTGGGGCCGGAACTGTGAGAGTGTCTTAAGTGAGTTCCCTCCCCAAGGAACTCCTGAACTCAGCTGCTGGCCTGCCTCTGGCTTCTCTCCCAGATGTCCCTGTCTCCACCTATGCCCGCCCTTTTATCCATAATAAACCTTCTCTCCACCATATCTAGGAGCAGTCACGTCCTTTCCTCTTTCTTCTCTCTCTCTCTCTCTCTCTCTCTCTCTCTCTCTCTCTCTCTCTCTCTCTCTCTCTCTCTCTCTCTCTCTCTCTCTCGTCTGGGGCCGGAACTGTGAGAGTGTCTTAAGTGAGTTCCCTCCCCAAGGAACTCCTGAACTCAGCTGCTGGCCTGCCTCTGGCTTCTGTCCCCACCAAATTCGATTCTCGAGTCCACCTCTTCAGCCGCTTCTCCCCTTCACCTTATCAAACCCTCTCTCTTCCCCTGCCCAGTAAGTGTCCTCTCTCCCACCGCATGGGCAGTTCTCCTCAGGGAAGGCTTGCCTCTCCAGCTGTTTTCTCCTCTGCCTGCATTGACCGAGCGCGCCTCTCCCCCTACACTGGGTAAGTCCACCACAGAGCTCCCTGCTGTGTCGACTTACTGTGAAAGCCACACCAGTGTGCTAGGAAGCATCCTCTTGCCCATCGCGGGGAAAGGGATACCTCTCCTCTGTGATTTGGGACGCTTCTCTCTGACAAGTCTCTAGGTCTGCTTGGGGAAGACCTGGTTTGGAATTCTTGTTACAGCGACACTTACCCCTCTGCTCCTTCTCGGGACTTCCTCACCTCCTAGGAGCTGCCTGATAAGCCCCATAGCATCTCTGTGCCCTCCTGGCTTCTGCGATATTGAAAGCCCACCTTGCATGGAGTTCCTGCTTGCTCCTCCTGGTCCCTATGGCTGCACTGTTCTCTGTCTCTTAGATGCCTAACCCTCCCTGTGAGGGAGTTCATTTCATGACCTTTTCTCCTTAGACTCAATTCCTTTCTCCTACTCGAGCCTTGCTGTCTTACTGAAAATGACTTGGCCTCAGTATAGCTTGATGGCTAAAGATGGCAACCCCGGCCAAATTCTTGCAGATTGTAACAACTGTTGCCACTGCCTAAGCAAATGGTCCCAAGTTCTTTTATCTCAGAGGCTTTACAACTTTCCACTCTTAAATCTTTTATCTTTATGATTTCTTTGGGTTTTACTCTCAAGAAATCTTTTAAGACTGTTGTGGAAACAGTCTTTATCTCAGGATTTATAAATTCACTGGGTGTGGCTAAAGAATCCATAAGATCTGTTACAACATTTGGCTTTAAACTTATAACAAAAGGCTTATACTTAAAATCTATACATGGAAATTATAATTTGTTCCAACATCCCATCTGGTACTATTGGTTACATTAGTATATTGATCAGAAAAGTCTAGAAAATTGCTTGAAAAAAAACATATGATTAGTAGTTCTGGTGTCTGGTGAAACGTAAGCCCATACTTGCCTTCTAATAACATTACAAATGTTATAATGATCTATGCAAATAGGAAACAATTCAAATCCCAAGGAAAAATTAAACAGTCTCTTCTTTAGATGGATGAAGGAGTCTAATGTGGTCCTATGGTGCAGGCACAAACAGAGTCCTTAGTAAAAATGACAGAAGCTGGGTCCATCCCATCTACAAGTCAGATCAAAGGAGGATGACCAGACCAACACACATGCTCAGAGACACCCATCGCAGAAAGAGAGTCTCGGGTGACATAGGGCTTTGTGTGTTGGAAAACATCTCCCTTGGTGCACAAGGCCTTAACTTGGCCCCGTGTGGACCGGTGATGACTCCTGATGATATCCATCTTAAACTGTTCAAACCACACAGGCCTGTCTGAAAGCAGTTCAGACTGTTCTGTAGAGAAATGATTTGAGCTCTTGAACAGAGGATATTTCCTGGTGCTCTCCCTTTCTTGCTTTTTAAAATAATTGTTGTTTTAGTTCTATGTGCTTTTTCAACATAGGAGCAGCAAAGTGAATGACAGTTTGAATTTGTTTTCCCTTTTATTTGCTTTTCAATAGCATCTTTGAGTCTTCCTATGAAATCAGCACATGGCTTAGAGGGACCTTGTATAATTTTTATGTAACTGGGCCCCAAGTCAGAGCCCGTATCAGTTTTCATCCAGGCAGCCATAGCTACATCTCTCACATGTAGAAGGGCTGTTGATACCTATCCACCAGTCCCTGCCAGCATTTTGTAAGTGACATTTGCAGGGTTACTCCTCAGTCCTAGTTGTAGAATCCTTTCATGGGCTTCATGTGCAGGCCACATTTGCCATTGAGGAACTGGGAAAGTATAAGAACCATTTTAGCAATTATATGAAAATCACTTGGCAAACATGGTACATCATTTTTCCAACCAGAAAGATCCATAACAATATGCCACGATAGGCCCATAGGAAGCACACGCCTTTTAAAAATCCTTCATTATGTCCGTATCTAACCCTGATAAATGTTTTGATTTTGTTGAAATTCCAATGGAAATATCAAGTGTGACTTGAGCGGCTGGGGAGGGGTCAGTAGGACAATTGCCTTTTCTGGCAGTGCCCTGGCTTACCTAGCTTGTCGTTGGCTTTTTCCTAGGCTCTCAGAAGTTCTCTTCAAACAGTGGACAGAATTTGTGAGGACCAAAGTTATGTTTTAAGTTTTAGTTACTGTGCCTAAGAGACACATGAAACAAAAATGCCTCTAATCTGCAAAGAGAGACAGTTCCTGAAATGCTGGAGGCTATTGTTTATGGGAGACAGCAAGCCACACATTTTCACTCCCCTAAACAAGTCTGCTTGACCCATCTACACCCAATATACTTGATCACGTGTGGCTGGGAAGTTCCTGGGACCCTGCCACGGCCTCTGCATCAGCTCCTGCCACCAGATTCCCTCCCTGCTCGAATTCTTGTCTGGAATCTGTTTTATGATGGATTGTGATATAATAGTGTAAACCCTTTCCTTCCCAACTTGCTTATGTTCATGGAGTTTTATCACAGTAATAGAAACTCTAGTTTAGACAACCATGGGCTCAATCATCATCACCACCATCACCATCATCACAATTATCATTGTCACCTTCATCACCATCAGCACCTCCATCGTTGTCATCATCTTCACCACTGTCTTCATCATCATCATCATCATCACAGCACCACCACCACCAAACAACAACAACAACACGGCCCATTATTACCAGTATCATCGACACCACCATCATCACTGTCTCCTCCTGATTGCCTCCTGTTATTCAATGCTTGTTATATAGACACTGTTCTGGACTCTTCACTCGTGTTATCTGATTGAATCTCCTCACACCACATAGGACAGGAACTGTGGTTACCCTCTTCCTGGAGATTAGAGAAAGAAGCAGGGAATGCTGGGCTGCAGGCGGTGGGGCTTCCTGGGACTTCTCTGCTGCTCTGCCCTGTGCGCGGCACTGCACCGCCATCTTGTGGTGACAGATGGGCAAACAAGGGTCGTGGAGACTGAACTGGAGAGTCTCAGGGCCGATTTCTCTGGGACCCAGTACCCTACTGTGCCCTGGAACCTACATGGGCTACTGCCACCCCAGCTTCAAGCTTCACATTTGTGCCCAGGTCCTGACCTTGGGTCTCGCAGCTATTACAGAGAGAAGGGCTCAAGTGTGAGTTGGGGCAAACGCTGTTTGTGACTTCGTCTTGGCTTTGCCCAATGAGGCAACGATGGCATCTCGGTGTTCTTTGAGGTTCCTGTGGGTACGTATGGCAATATTCTGCACGCACAAGAGCACAGCAGCTGGCAGATGTAAAAGATGGGGTGACCCAGAGATGCCACCTGTTACGGGGGGGCTTGGAGTTCCAGTGTTGTAAGTACTTGGTCCCCTGTGTACCTGTGTGTGTGCATGCGAGGACCCTGCTCTGATCACTGTCCTCGGAGTGGACCCTGCTCTGATCACTGTCCTCGGAGTGGACCCTGCTCTGATCACTGTCCTCGGAGTGGACCCTGCTCTGATCACTGTCATCGGAGTGGACCCTGCTCTGATCACTGTCATCGGAGTGGACCCTGCTCTGATCACTGTCATCGGAGTGGACCATCCCACAGCATTGAACAACTTCCCCCATCTCCCCCATCTTCTTTGTCTTCGTTTTCCTTTTCGGTTTGTTGTTTGTGAGAAAGGGTCTCCAGCACCCAGGCTGGCCTCCTACATTCTCTGTCACTGAGAATGACCTTAAATTTCTAATCCTGCCTCTACGCACCAATGCTAGGATGACAGGATGTATCACTACACCTGTTTATGCAGAGCTGCGTATGGAAGCCAGGGCTCCATGCATGCTAAGCCAGCCTTCCACCAAATGAGCCAAGCCTCAGTCCAGCAAATGCTTCAGAATATTTCTTAACTGGGGAGATGACTCAGTTAAGTGGCTGTCAAACAGCACAAGGACATATTTGCACCTTGGTACCCACATCAAAGGCTTGGTACAGCAGTGCATCCTACAATCCCAGTGCTGGGGAGGCAGAGACACGTAGTTCAGTGGTCAGTCATTCTAGTTGAATGGGCAAGCTGAGGCTCAGTGAGAGACCATCCCTCAAAAGCTGAGGTGGAGAGTTGTCAGAACATGGTCCAAGAATGCAGCTGTGTGTGCAGGATTCAGAGCGCTTGCGAGAAACTCCAAGAAACAAGGCAAGGGTCCTGTGACCTCCATTTCTTCAAAACATGGAGTTGTTCTTGGAAAGTGTTTTCAGGCTCCTCCCAAGTATGGCAGATAGGACTGGGTTCACTTCAGATTACTCACTACAACTGGCTGTTATTTGCTTACAATGGAAAACACGTTTCTGCCTCGTGGGCCACGGGAGGCTTGCCCTTGTGACTGTCCTCTTTACTAATGTGACTCCACTTAATCCTCAGAGTATAAATCGTCTGATGCTCTGAATAAAGCTGGATATTGTGTGAGACTTTATCCCTCCTCATTTCTCAGCTCCATTTTCCCCGGTCCCAGCGCCGTTAGAGCAGTAAACAGAGTGATTGTAGAAGACATCTGACGTTGGCCCCTGGCCTTCACATGCACACACACACGTGAGCACATACACAATTTAAAGAGTTTTAATCATGTGTATATATGTGTGCACATGCCTGGGAAGCCCATGGAGCCAGAAGAGAGCATCACACACATGCACACACACACACGTGAGCACATACACAATTTAAAGAGTTTTAGTGTATATGTGTGTGCACATACCTGCAGAGCCCATGGAGCCAGAAGAGAGCATCTGATTCCCTGCAGCTGAAGTTACAAACGGTTTTGACCCCTGTGCCGTGGGTCCTGGGAATCAAAGTTAGGTTCTCTGGGAGAGCACTCCATGCTCTTGACCACCGCACCGCCTCTCCGGCTCTACACAAAAGTCTGAGCTACAGAGAACCCACAACCTAGACAAGGAGCCAGCCCCGCCCACCCACCTCTCCCTCATAACCCCTGTTTCTCACCCCGACCTCATCCCTACATAAGTCCAGATTCCCTAGCAGACAGCAAGGATGCCAGCAGAGGACGAATGTGCTTCCTCCTTATCCTTGCATTCCCTGGCTGAGTTATGATCTCCCAGGCCCTTGAGGCATGTACCGTGTAGCTGGCTCAAATATCACACTGACACCCAGCACTGGGGGCGTGTCATAGAACTTAGGCCTTCCTTTGGCTTTCCAGGAGAATCCATGGTGCACTCCTTCAGTATGGCTCAGTGTCCTGTGGTGGGGGTCAGGGAAATGCAGAAGACAGTAAAGACCCCGCTCCTCTGTCTAAACAGGCTTCAGTGCCCATCTATGAAGTCAGCTGCTGCCCTGCCGCCGTGTGCTGTTTAGCACAGGCACCGCGTGCTACTCTTGTGCACAGACACGCTGAAAGATTGCATAACCTGACTGCTGACAGAGGAGCAGGCGCAGATGTGCAGATGTCCTTGTGGCGTGCCAGCACAGAGTCCTCAGCCTACTACCCAGGTGTGTCGCTGGGATGCCGGCAGCTCTGAGTATACACATTCAATGGCAGAAAATATTAATACTAACTGTGACTGTGCATGAAGAGTCCGCCTTGACAGTGTGCAGGGCCTTCTGTTAGGATTCACAGCAGAACGATTGTGGATTGGGGCCAAGAAATGCCATAAAGTCACATCATGCAACAGGCCTCACCAGGAAGAGTTATAGGGGGGCTATGCAGAGGTGACCTCAAAGTGAGGGGGAGGCAGAGGGCAGGCCATGGGGGCACTGGCTTTATACAAGGGTATGCACATAGGGAGAATACGTGACTCGTGGTGACAGTGGAAATGGTCCACGTTTGGCAGCTGGTGATGGCGTGGCCGCTGCCAATGGGCTACTAAAGGTGGGCTCGGGTGGGGTTTCCAGCACTCCCCCTCTTATTTATTATGAAAGGTAAGGAAATATTTAGGCATGACTGGAGAGGCAGGGATGGTGCTCTTTAGACTGCTTCCCGTTGTGTGGGGCGTCGACGTCTTCAGAGCACTGTTGATCAGCTCTGTGGCTGGGGGCTGATTGTTTGAATTTGTCGTTGGGGAAATGTGGAGAAGAAATTAATAAAGGAGGTGCAGAGTGAGAAGGAGCGGGGTCAGGAAGGGAAGTACCCATTTCCATGTGGGCTTCTCACGGGCCCAGGGAGCAGAGACGTCCAGTTGCTCCTTTCATTTTTGGAGGTCTGTCTGAAGTTGTTGGATTTTGTTTTTACTATGCCCAATTGATGGACATAGAAGCAGTACTCCTTTTGGAGGTTGAGGCAAAGGCGAGCTTTTTCAGCTGTAAGAAGATCTGGTCCCCACTGGTTTTGGAGTACCACCGCTGCCAAGGAAGGGTGAGCATGGTTTGGGTCACCTCATGGTTTGGAGGTCCTGGATGAACTGGGAAGGAAACTGACAAAGTCAGGGAAGTGGTTTGCCCTGTGTCCTGGTGGTGACGCCTGCGGTTACGCCCGTGACAGCCTGAAGGGGCAGGGTCTGAGCCACCCTTTTATTATGTTGGACAACCGGAATCGGTAGGGACTCTTTTCCATGTATCACCTCCAACTTGGGGAGGAGAAATAGATACTGGCGTGCAGACACCTGACCAATTATCAGGCAGGCAATGGTAGACTTGCATACGACAAAGAATCAAGGTGTTCTGGATGGTGGGGCCCTGGGGCTGAGGTGGGGTTGAGGGTTAAGATCTGTTGCGTATAAGAAATGTAACGCCCCTACAAAATGTGTCCCGGATACCTTAAAGCAGTTTGCCATGCCAAAGAGGGTGATGGTAAAAAGGTCGGGTGTCGTGGCAACACTAACCTTGGGGCAGTTGGTGAATGGTGAGGTAAGGCTATTTTGATGGAAAGAGAGACTGTGAACAGCAGCTGTGAGCTCGTTCCGGCGAAACACACAGCCAGCAGTCCTGACGTGGCTGGGTTGGGAGATTTGAAGGAGCAGGCAGGCCGGGTTCGGAGTGAAGCGGGAGACGAAGTCTCAGGTTTGTATTACTTAAGAGAGAGGATGTTAGAGTGGCTACGGCCAGGGGCTGAGGAATCAGGATATACATTTTCTCTGAATTTAATCCCGCTCATCCAGTGCCAGGGGCTGAAGAAACGGAAGGACTTACCTGTAACACCCATTGCCCTCCTGTGGCACACGGTATTAGCAAGACCATTCTGGGCAGCCTCCGTATCTGGCTGGCCACTCCTTGTAATAGCCTCCGTCCGGTCATAGACGAAGCAGGCAAAAGGTGGTGGATTGAAAAAGGAGGGGTGGATATAGGGGTGTGAGGAATTCTAATTTACCTCTTGACAGGCTGCTTGGGAACAATTCCCCAACCCTGTTTTGAGAGACTGTTATAAGTGAGGGTTTCTTGAACCTTGGATCTCCATGCAGATGGGTTTCCCTGGACAGAGGCAGACAGGAGGAAAAGGAGGAAAAGTCTATGATGTCCAGTCCAGCAGTGTCCAGCATGGCTGCCAGGGTGAAGCCTCATTCTTCTGGAACCAGGGACAAGGCAGTTGATCTAGGTGTCCTCCTAAGGGAGCAGGATCCTGTCGGGGCTGATTTGTTGGAAGGGAAATTGTCTTGGGGGGGGTAGAGGGCTTGAAGTGGGACAGGTGAATCCAGTGAGGGAGACAGGAATTTCTTTGGAGGGGCCCTGTCATTTAGGGGAGGGGTGAGGGATGCTGGTCTGGAGGGGAGAGAGGGACCTGATCCCTAATGTGGCCTGGGGGTGAACAGGAGTTGGTGTATGGCTGGGGTAGGCGGTGGTCAGTGGCGTTCCATAGGAGGGAGCGGGGTGACAGAGTAGGGGGTGAGTAGATGATCATGGAGAGGTGAGGCTTGGGTGAAGGCCCGGGGGTCAGGACTGGTCACCTGTACGTGAGCTCAGACGGCGAGATGGGAAGGGGTCTCTTGGGAGAGCCCGAGAAGGGCACGTGGCAGGAGCTTTACCCAGTCAGGGTGGAGGCCCTGCGACAAGGGTGACTTTAAGTGCAGCTAGTTCATCTATCTTTCTTGAGGACTGGGCATGGCAGGGGATAGGGACATGCCAAGGGGTGCTGAGGGCTTTGGATAGGGTTTGGGAGATCTGGGAGGTGAATTCGGGGCACCGCCAGACTGGTGTAGCAGAGAATGACATCCTGAGGAGGAGGTCGGAGACTGTGAGCCCTCGTGTTGGTGGTGGGGATGCCTCCACCCACCCTGAGGTGTCCTCCGAGGCCAGGAGGTACCTGACATGTTCGACTGTGGGCATGTGGGTAAAGTCAGGTTGCCAGCCAGCGTGTGGGGAGAGCCTCTGGCCTGGTGGGTAGGAGAGGGGGTTGTGGTGAGAGGAGTTGGGGTCTGACATTTGGCAGAGTTTACAGGAGGCAGTAAGAGCCTTAAGAAACGCAAATCCTCTGGGGCGGGCTGCAGGTGGGCCTGGAGGGCGTGAGACAAGCTTGGCTGTGGTGTAGATAGGGCAGGATTTGTTGAGTGTTGGGGGTAACAGGGGGATGTAGGCTGTTGTGCAAGGATACCGGAGTGGGTGAGGCAGACCTGGGCCTCCAAGGGCTGCAGCTATGGCCGCCTCATCTGCTTGGCGATTTCCTTTAGAGGTAACGGAATTTCTGAGTTGGTTATGGATCCTCCGTCTTTGTAAGGAGTCCACCCTCTTTCCAGAGAGCAGCGTGGGACAGGCGGGTGTGGAAGGCATGTTTGGGGTCTGTAAACCTTTAGGTCGTCCCTGTGCCCGCTGGAAGGCACGAGGGAGAGCTATTAACTCAGCCTGCTGGTTGGTCGCGTGCAGGGCGTGCCTGCGCCTCCCCCACCCCAGGATCAGCATGGTGATGTAGCCTGCTTTTCTGCCCCCCTGCGTCAAAAGGAGCTGCTGTGTGTGTACCAGGTGTAGGTGGCCTGAGGTAACGTGTCTTCCCGTATGTGTGAGGCAGTAGTTCCTCTAAGAACGAGATGGGGAGTGTCACTGTTTGGTTGGGGAAGAAGATTTGAGGTGTTGAGGGGCAGGCATGATTGGAAAGCAAGTGTGACACCCTCTGCTAGTGCCATCTGGAGAGAGAACCCAGGAGGGGGTAGAGTTTGTAAGACTTCGTATGTTAAGAGATGGGATAGGCTTTAGGAGGAGAAGACAATGGTAGGTGACCCAAGAATTAGTTTGGCACATGCATGGGTGCCCTTCCCTGGGTGGTGAGGTCTAAGTCTTTGGCAGGTATGCCACGGTGCAAAGAAAGGTCTCAGCTGGTGGCCTAGGACCCCGAGGGCATATCCCTCTTTTTCTGTTACACAGAGCGAGAAGGAATTGGTTAGGTCCTGTAATTGGATTATGACAGGGGAATGGTGTTTGGCAACAGAGGGGTTTTGGCTATTCCAGGTTTGGGGGTCTGTTGGGGGAAGTCCGGTGCATTTGTCAATAAAGTACTGTTGAGCCTATAGGGAACCAAGATAGGAGGGACTAGG